CCCCAGTTGTGGGAATTTCGTCCCGAAATTCAACTGGCAGTAACACTGGGTCAGACATAGCGAATAGTTGAGGATATTTGTTCTTCATGAAACTCTCGTTCCCACGTAAACTCGGGTCCCTGCTTAGAGTTCCAACGAAACTTTCACAATCGGTATTTACTTCGTTTTAGTTGCTTAACCTCTCGATCGGAATTTCTACAGGTTCCTCCACGAACTTTCGTTGATCATTAATTTGGAGGTCCCGAGAGGTATGTGGGGGATCCTCGCCAAGCACTTTTTTGAGGTTCGACACATGGAATGTGGTCGTGTATCGCACTCAGTTCATTGGTAGCTTTAATTTATATGCCACTGGACCGACCTATCGATAATCTCGAAGGGTCCTACATAACGGGACTCAGTTTTCCTCTTTTACCAAAACGCACGATTCCTTTCCATGGGGATACTTTTAAGAGTACTTTGTCTCCTATTTGAAATTCCAAAGGTTTCTACGCGTGTCAGCATAGCTCTTCTGGCGATCTCCGGGCAGTTTCAGTCTATCACGTATATCGAGATCTCTCAGTGGTCTCTTGAATTAATCCAGTTCTCGTTAACTGCCTATCGCAATTTCCAGCCAACATAGTGGGGAGCGACATTTACGCCCGTACAAGGCCTCCATAGGGGGCGCATTGTATGCTGGTATGGTAAGCTATTATTATAGGAAGAACTCAACTAATGGCAAATGGTTATCCCAACTTCCTCCAAAGTCGATCACGCAAGCCGGAGCATATCTTCTAACGTCTGGATGGTTCGTTCACTCTGACCGTCTGTCTGGGGATGATATGCGGTACTTAAGTCTAAACTGTGTCCCCAAGGCTTTTTGAAGCGACTGCCAAAATCGAGATGTAAAACGGCCATCTCTATCCGATATGATGGGAAATAGGTACTCCGTGACGTACTACGATCTCATCTATGTAAATTCGAGCAAGCCGTTCCATTCGGTAATCTTCCCGAATGGGAAGAAAATGTGCGGATTTCGTCAGTCTATCCACCACTACCCAGATAGAATCGTGTCTTTCACGGTCCTCGGTAGCTTAGTAACAAATCCATGGATATTTGCTCCCATTTCCATTGAGGTATTTCTGGTTGCTGAAAGCAAACCGGAGGGCTTTTGATATTCAGCCTTCACTTTGGAGCAAGTTAAACATTTCCCAACGTACAAAGCAAATATCGTCTTCATTCCAGGCCACCAATAGTATTCTTTAGATCCAAGTACATTTTGTCGGCTCCAGGGTGGATCGAGTATCGGGAAATATGGGCTTCCTTTAAAATTACCTCAACGCAATTCGTAGATCTTTGGTACCCATACTCTATTTTTTGAAGTACTTCACTCCATCCGAACCTGTTTCAAAATCGTTTGTTCCGACATTGCAATGTTTCACATTTCAAGTTCTCAGTCTTAATGCTTCGCCTTGAGCAGCAAGGATTTCGTCCTTCAAACTGGTTGAACAAGGGCTCCGAAGGCATGAGCTGAGTCGTGAGGTTTCACTCTTTCCTTCCTACTCAACGCATCGGCTACAACGTTGGCCTTTCCTGGATGGTATTTAATTTCGCAATCATAGTCGTTGAGTAATTCACCCACGCCTCTGTCTCATGTTAAGCATCTTTTGATCCAAGATGTGTTGTAGGCTTTTGTGATCAGTATAAATAGTGCACTTAGTTCCGTACAAGTAATGTCTCCAGATCTTAAGGGCGAATACCACCGCTCCTAATTCTAGGTCGTGGGTTGTGTAGTTTTTCTCATGAACCTTCAACTGCCTTGACGCATATGCAATAACCTTGCCTTTCTGCATCAGTATGCAACCCAGAACCTTGGTGTGACGCATCACAAATACACTGTGAAGTTCTCCACACCATCTGGCAATGCCAAGACTGGCGCATTACACCACTTATGTTTTAGCAATTGGAAGGCATCTTCTTGTGGTTCTTTCCCATACAAATTTCCTATCCTTTTGGGTCAGAATAGTCAATGGCTGGGCAATTTTGGAGAAGTTCTCAATAAAGCGCCTATAATAGCCCGCCAATCCGAGAAATTGCCGAATTTCCGTCGGGGATCTTGGGGTTTCCCATTTCTTAATTGCTTCAAATTTGGTGGGATCCACGTGTATTCCTTTTTCTCCAACCACATGACCAAGGAATCGTACTTCCCTAATCCAAATTCGCACTTAGAGAACTTTGCAAACACTTTTGGTCTTTCAACAGTTCCACCACTAGCCTGAGATGTCGTTCGTGCTCTTCTTTGTTTTGGGAATAGACTAGTATGTCATCAATGAACACGATAACAAAACTTGTCAAGGTACGACCTACAAATCCTATTCATAAGATCCATGAAGGCAGCTGGCGCGTTAGTTAGCCCAAAAGGCATAACTAATAAGACTCGTAGTGTCCGTAACGAGTTCTGAAGGCGGTTTTAGGAACGTCTTCGTCGCGTACCCTAATTGGTGGTATCCCGATCGTAAATCAATCTTTGAAAAGTACGAGGCACCTTGGAGTTGGTCAAACAAATCATCTATTCGAGGAAGGGGGGGTATCTATTTTGATAGTCGATTTATTTAGTTCTCTATAATCGATGCACATTCGCATTGATCCATCCTTCTTTTTCACAAATAAGACCGGTGCGCCCCACGGTGAGGAACTTGGACGAATGAATCCTTTTTCCAAAAGTTCCTGAAGTTGACTCGAAAGCTCTTGCATTTCAGAAGGTGCCAAGCGGTAGGTGCTTTAGCTACAGGTGCCGCCCCAGGAATTAGATCAATTCTGAACTCGACTTGTCTTGTTGGGGGGGGGGGGGTCCGGGCAACTCTTCCGGGAACACTTCGGGGTATTCTCGCACTATTGGAAATCCTGAATATGTTTTTCTTCCGAATTCTTTTCCACTACATGAGCCAAGAACGCAAGGTACTTCTTCTTCAGATATTTGTGAATCTTTGCATGAGACTATCTTCCGGTTCTTGCCTGGTTTCTCTCCGTACACTAATAGGGTTTCGTTGTTTTGGAGGGGCATTTTGACAACTTTCTCAAAGCATCCTATGTCTGCTCGATTCTTGGATAACCAGTCCATTCCTACCACTACGTCAAAGCTTCCGAGTTCCATGGGTATCAGATCAATACTAAAATTTTTACCGGCTAAGTTCAAGGTACAATTAGGAACTATCTCCTTAGCCTTAATTTCATGGCCGTTAGCAAGTTCAATTATGTAAGCATGTTCCAACATTTTGATTTCAAGTCGATTAGTGATCTAAATTCATGTGACCACAAACTTCTATCTGCCCCAGAGTCAAATAATACTGATGCATAGTGGTTGTTTAGGAGGAATGTACCTGTTACCACCTCCGGTTTCTGGCGGGCCTCTTCCGCCTTGATCACAAATGCTCGCCCACGAGCCTGACCTCCTGGATTTCCACGGTTGTTATGACCTGCCTGGTTGTTGTTGGGGCCCTTGTTTAGATTCGGGCATGCATTCCTAAAGTGGTCCACACTTCCACACTCATAGCACGCCCGTTTACCACCCTTGCGATTATCTATCCTGCAATACTTCGCGAAATGCCCAGATCGGTTGCACTTGTGGCAAAATAGGGCAGGCCCCCTCATGGTGATAGCTGCATTCTCACACTTAGGTTTAGGCCTCGGTATTGCACAGGTCCTCTGTTTTAACCGCAAAGTTCGTGCCCTTTCTTGTTCCTTTCTGAGTTGTCATTCTTCTTCCTTCCAATCTGGCTCTCCGGTTTTCTTTTGTTACTGGTGTTGCTTATGGTCAATATCCCAGCCCTCACTTTCATTCGTAAGTCGGTGCGCCAGGTCTATAGCGCTATGGATTGAGGTAGGATTTGCTGAAGTAACCATGCCTCGGATTTCGGGTGCAATCCCCATATGTATCGGTCGATCCTTTTGCTCTCCGGGGTGACCATGTGCGGCACTAGTTCAGCGAGTTCATGGAAACGCACAGTGTAGCCTTCCACATTGGCTCCTACCATGGCATGGTTCCAGAAGTCAGATTCCATTTTCTGGATTTCATCTTACGACAGTATTCCTTCTTGAGTAACTCTTTAAATTCCTCCCAAGCTAACTGGTTCGCCGCCTCCCTTCCACGGTTTCGGACTTGCGCATTCCACCATGTTAAAGCTCTGTCTTGTAGAAGGCATGCAACATAGGGAACCTTGCAGTCATTTGAGCATTTGCTGATGTGGAGTATGGCCTCTATTCCTTATATCCATTTCAACAATCCCACCGCACCTTCTGTTCTGTGAAACTCCTTGGGTTTGCAAGACATGAAGTATTTATAGGTGCATCCCCTGTTTCCTATTACGAGTTCCGCTTCCATCCGTGTTCACAGTAGGTGTAGGGCCTCCGCAGTTTGTCTGACTAGTATGGATTCCCGCAGTGACTTGAGCCACAATGTTAGGGATAGCATCCATCAGTTGTTGTGAGACCAGTTGAGCAATATCGGGAGTGGCATTCTCAGGCTGTGTGTTTGGTGGGAGCGGGTGTTCCTTCTTGGGGGCATGGTTCTATAACACACAACAAATTTAAGACGTTACCATCATAAAAAGAAAAATTCTCTCTTTTTGCAAGAAATAACTAAATAATAAAATATATTTCAAGAAAGATTTCAAATCATCAAAACAATTTACAGTTTATGAACAATATTAAATGCGAAAAAAACATGGAAATTGAAAGTCATTAAAATAGATTTTCATTCATAGTTTGTAAATAAAAGGTTAACAAAGCATACTGCTTGGCACTACAAGCTACAAAAGATACTTCAACCATACTTTTCAAAAGCCATAAGCCAAAGGCATTACATCAAAATACATAGACCAAAGACCATAAAACATAAACCATGACGCTTTGATTCAACCCCAAAACACAATCACCCAGACAAGTGCCACTGCCAGAATCAATGCTAGCCCTCCAACGATAGCGCTAGTGATCATAGCTCTGATTGCTGTCCTCTGGGCGGAGTATGCATAACCACACACCGCATCCACCACGTCTGACATGTCGGCTATGCTGTGATGATGATAAGCAATCCTACTACGGGCATCATGCAGGTCTCGGGCCATGGCCTCCATGCTGCGTCGCTCCTGACAAGTCATCCCGGGTGCTCGCATATAAGGCGTCCCTATGACTGGGGGTCGAGGCTGACTAGGCTCGTGACGCTCACTCCTTGGTGCAGGAGGTGCTGGCACGGGTTCTGGACGCTCGAACCTTAACACTTCTCTCGGCATTGGTGCGCTCTTTCTCGCTGTCCTCCTGTGGTATAGTCCATAAAGGGGTGGCCGAGGCGTCAGCTGTCGCGAAGGCTCGGGTATCGCGGGGGGCTGAAGTTTCCTCAGTCGGTGCCTGGCTGCTCATTCCTCTCCAGTCTCTGATCCTGTAGACGGATCTTCAGTCGGTTCGGTGCTCGAGTCGCGGTTGACTTTCGGGCGCGCAGTGACGTAACCAGACTCATCTGCCGATCCAAGTGCTTGAAGCTAGTGTTTGACATGGCTACGCTGTACACGAGAAACTCTAATGTTTAGATGAATTTTTAGCCTTCTAGAAAATTTCTATTATGTTTGATGTTTATGTTTATCCTAGGGTGTTGATACCATTCACTATAATCAATTCCGGTCTTGCACTAACTCTTCCTTAATTATACATAGGTGATCAGGCTATGTATAATTAAGGTCCAGTAGCGCATTACGGAATTACTTATACTAAATGGCAGTTTTATTAACTCAATGGTTATAGTTTAGGCGTCCCTAAGGGAAAGGGGAAGCCGTGGGTATTCTATAACCTTAGGCTCTGATACCAAATCTGTCACACCCCGTTAAAGCGGAAACACGAAGAGTGACAGGCTAAGGTCTCATCACAAAGGTAAATAGAAGTACCAACCATAAACATTAAGCGTTTTAATTTACATGCGTACAAAACAAATACATTCAGTTTTCACAATACATAATTTAATACATAGCAAAGGTAACAACTTAAATCATGCTAACGTCTTGTTGATTCACTGACCGTTCCCTGAAAAGCATGCAAAAAACGAGGGTCAACTATAAAATAGTTGGTGAGTTCACAGGTTTATAATAATACATTATTTCAAAAATGTAGTTTATTCTATATTGTCCAATTAGAAGACGATGAATGCCATTGCATTCCGTTCAACCAAGCCTAACGACCGTTCCTGCCCCATTCCATCATGTCCATGGTTCCCATGATGTCAGTTCATGGAAATATGCACTCGCGGTTCCGGGCGAGTGGGGGCTGTCGACCCCAAATAGCGCTATCCATAAGACCATCGGCTCAATTGAGTTAATAGGTTGTATCGTTTTCTCCGGGGACTTAATCATACAAGTTCATACACCAAATTCATAATACAAGTTCATACAACAAAGTTCAAATCACAAATTCATAGCACAAGTTCATAAAATAATGTTCATAGATATTGTGACATGCTTTCCACCCCAAAAACATTAAAACCGAAAATAGGGGAGTGCGTGAATACTCACTCTGGAAAGTTTGCGGCTCGGGCTTTGCGGGTTGATGTTGGTGAGTGCGAATCCTAATAGCGTCCTACGGAACAAATAGTCTCTAGTGAGATATAATTCACTAAACCATTATCTAAGTCTACTTATCCTACTAGTGGTGTCATTAAGTGCCCAAAGTTTGTTTGGTTCATTATTAGTATTATTGAATTCATGGTGTCTTATATTCAAAAAAAAAAAAAATCATAAAGGCATGAAAATGAACTCCAAAAATTGTAAAACTTTATATTGTGTTTCTACAGGAGGGTATTAGTGTCCAGATATTTTATAGACATTTTTGATGGTCGTTTTATATTTATTTGTAATTTAGGATCAAATAATATAGAAAATCCAAATAAATTGGTAAACAGTTTCTAAAAATTTCCAATTTAATTTTTACAGGTTCTTATAATGTTCCTAAGGTTGAGAAAAATATTGGTTAGGAACTTTGAGTCCAATAACCCGAGATTATAATTTCATGCTCCAATTTAATGAAAAATATGGAATAAATATCAAACAGTGTCCAAAATGTCTGAAAATTTACATGGCTTTCTTATTCTGTGATTATATTCATAATAAAAATTTTCAGATTTTTATACCCTCCGAAAATGATTATTTGGAATTTAAAGCCATTAAATAACGATTTTTATAAATAAATAAGGAATTGGTTCTAGCCCTTGGTATTTTACAGATTATCACATGCATATGAGGGCTTTCAAAAGGAAAAATGTTCAAAATTTATTCAGAAGAGAAATAGGGGTATTGAACCCAAACAAGTTAAGAAATGTTGCACATTATAGTGCATGAGATGTAAATGTGGCTGAAGTTCATGAATTTGAGTAGCACATTCTGTGGGGTTTTAAGCCACGAAATTTCAGCCATCATTCACTGGATATGTTAAGTTTCTAAACTATTTTCCCCCCAGATTGATGGTTGGGTTTAAGGCCACTGATCACGTAAAGTAAAAATGGTGATCACAGAAAAAGAGCTGTTTGCGCAACCATTTTGTAAAAATTGCCAAAAATCCGATATTTAATCTTTTACAGTGAGACCAGTTGGGTTTGAAAGCTAACTCGTGGAACTATCCAGTACAAAAAGAATATCAGGATTTGGTTAAGTAATGACCGAGTTATGGCCGTTCAAATCTGAACAAAATAGTCTGGCAGATTGCATGTCTCCCCTGGTTGCTTTGAGTGCATTCTTAGGGCACTTTGACAAGAACATCATGCATGCTTCTGTTAAGGTCCGATTTCTAGCACATGCATGGAGTGAATGAGCATCCAAGATGTACTAGAAATGGTTTAAATGCTTTTGGTCATGCAAGAACACAAAAGAAATGGAGAAGAAGATGTAATACTCGGTTTTGAAGTCACATGAACACATGTGCATCTTTTTCACTCCTTGCATGGGTTTGATCCCGGATTTTCACCATCTCAAACACATGCATTGTGTTATGGTGAGAATCTACAAACCACAAGGGAAAAAGTAAGGATTTCTAGCCATAGAAGGGCATAGAATCCGAAGAGTAGAGAAGAACCATGAAGAAGAGGAAGTAAAATCATGAAACTATGAGGGAGGATTGTGTTGTTTACCTTGGTTTGATCTTGAGAGAAGCAAGAACACTTCAAGACCTTCTCAATTCGAAATTATGGCAGAGAATGGAGGATTTTCTGATGTGTAGGAGTGGTCTTGGAAGTGGGAGAGTTTTCTTGGAGAAGGAGTGTGAGATGGAGTGTGTAGGTGGTTCAAATGAGGTGTAATGATGGGTTTTAAGGCATGGGGGAGAGGGAAAAGCCTAATGGACGAAAATTTAAGAGGGATATGGTATTTTTATTGGTATTTGATCAAATAATAAAAGCATCCCTTGAATTTTTATAAATCTAGATTTTAAATTTTATAAAACTCAAACATTTTCATAATCTCCTAAGGTTTTAATTATTGGGTTTTGTTGAGGTATTACACTTGGTAATGACTTCCAAAAATTATATTTGTTGAATTATTTATATAATGATAACCTATTATTTAATTTTTATAAAAATCAATTTATCATATTTCAACAATTCTAACAAGGATTCATAATATGTGATTGTAAGAATTTGATATTCTTGGATTTTACTTTTGGTTCACATTTCGAATCATGAAGTGTATGAATTTGTCATCAACTTTATAGTTGGTTCATATTATGATCTAATTTTTGTTCATATTAGCTTGTGATACTTAACCTTGTTAAGCATCAATTTGTTCCAATATGAAATTTTTAGGGTTAATAACCTACCCTTGAGTTGTAATCTATCGAACATAGTTTTATGTTTAGACTTAAGGTTCAGCTTTGGCACTTTACCACTCAGTTGGTTCCTTTACATATCAATGTGATCGTTCAATACAACTAAGGTACACTACTTGTTCCGAGGGATCTATTAAGTCACAAACCTAGTTCAACTTGTAACTATAGAGCCAACTTAAGTGCACACAAGGAAATGACAAGGTTCTAGATGAGTATTGACCTGAGTTTTAGTGGATGTCACAATATGTCTGTATGGATTAGGTCTATTAATCCTTCACATCTTTCACATGTTCCAGTGAAAGGTGACTTAGTCGTCTTGCCCAATAGACATGATTCACATTCATCATCTAATCTTAGGTCAAATGATTACAACACTCCATCCTTTTGGAGTTGGGCGATGCATTTCTTGTTTATATGTACAAGACCACAATTCCATAAGCATGTTTTATTTATACCATTAGACAAATCAATATTAAATATACCATTGCCTAAGTTCTCAACACATATAACAGTTTCATACACGCCATTACAATGAAAAACTTTGAATATAAAAACACCATTCTTAAAAACCAAAATAGAACCATTGTCATTATCAAAAGGAGTAGCGATATCCTTGTCTAAACAAATCATGAAATGTAATTATGTTTCTAGTCATATATGAAGAATAAAAACAATTTAATAAATCAACCCGAACATCACTATCAAGCACAAGTTCATAAGTTCCAATCTTGGTAATAGGCGGAGAACGACTATTCCCCATGATCAGGTTCAATGTTCCATGCTCGAGATCCTCACTTCTTATTAAACCATGTATATCAATGCAAATGTGAAAACCGCATCCCGTATCAAAGACCCAAGAATTAGCAAGTTGCGTGTTATTGAAATGAATAATGTATATATATGATGAAGAACCAGATGGTTTGATCTTTCCTTCTTTCAACTCTTGCAGGTATTTTGGGCAGATTCTCTTCCAATTCCCCGTTTCGCCACAGTGAAAGCAAGTGGTCTCTTTAGGATCACTGAAAGTTGGAACATCAAAGTTGGCTTTGCCCTTTGACCCACTACTAGACGCTCCAACATGGGCTTTCCCTTTCCAATTGGGTTTGGGCGTTTTCCTTCCTATTCTTTTCTCTGACATGACTGACGGCTAGGACAGTAGTCCTTATAGGAATTTTGTAGGCCAGTTTCCATAGTTGCAATCATGATGCAAGTGACCTTGGTGGCATCGCCAACATGTTGTTTATGAAGAGATAGTTCTTCAGGAGTAGTAGTCAATTCATCGATCTCAGGAATATGGCTATAGAGAACATATTCCTAGTTCTCATAGTGAAGAGTCATCTTCTAGTTGCGCATCCAGTCTATGTAGTTTGGACTAGTGAGATTTTCCTTTGACAAAATCGATAAGAGAGTGAAGTTTGAATTTGGAGTAGAGTTT